CATCTAAATTCTACTCTAATCAAAGTCCAGCTGCAAGATCCCATCTTCCAGAAAATACTCCCTGATTGTTTCTATTTGGGCGCTTAAGGGCTTCCCTGTACTAAGGACTCCTACAGTATGTATATTATTTACTACATACATTCTACCATTTAATTTTTACTACATAAAGAATACTGACTATGGAAAGAAAACAGTCATTCAGCTGTCAGATCCACCAACTACACCAAGACAGTAGCATTCATTAATCAAAAAGCCCAGCAGTCCCCAAACATAGTCCACAGTCTGTCCTGCACCACGTCCCTCACCTGCCTTGGATTCCCAACCTTCCTGGCTTCACTCAAAGATCTGCAACCCCCTCTTCTCCAGCTTTGCATTGGCTTCTTCTAAAAGCACCAGTCCCCACACCATCTCCCTCACACACACACACACACACACACACACACACACACACATCTCCCTGAGTCAATTAACACACCTAGACACCCTAGGCACTTATCTTTTAAAAGGCAGCTAACAGAGTCATCCATAAGTCTTCATTTTGCACTTCATTAAAAAGTCCTTCCTATTGATCCTGCCTTCAAAATATATCCAGAACTTGACCACTTCTCACCATTCCACTGGAAGCATGCTGGTGCAAGCCACCATCATCTTCTACTTGGATTATTGCAATTGTCTCTGAGGTTGGCAGCCTCCACTATGGGCCCGCATTGATCCTTACCTCCTAGAACTCACACCCTTGTGGAGTTCCCTCCCGCATTGTATCAGACTTGGTTTATATGACCAACAGCATATAGCAAAAATGATAGTATGGCACTCCCAGAATTAGATAATAAAATTGTTCCATCTTGGTAAGTCAGTCTCTCTCTCTCTCTCTCTCTCTCTCTCTCTCTCTCTCTCTCTCTCTCTGGAAAGCAAACTGCCATATTGTAGCGAGGAACTGAAGCCTTGACCACCAGTCAATGAGAAACTGAAGCCCACCAACAACCCGTGAAGGAGCTTAGTACATTCTGCAGTCAGAGACAAGTCTTAAATCACTTATAGCCCCAGATGACAACTTGACTGCAACCTTATGAGAAACTCAGAGTCAGCACCAACCAGCTAAGTTGCTCTTAGATTCCTGACCGTCAGAAATTGTGCAAGATAATGTTTGCTATTTTAGCTGATAAGTTTTTAGATACTATGTTACACAGCAGTGGATAACTAATACTGTCTCTAAATAAATCTCCCTGCTTTTACCATTGTCCCCTCCTCCCTCCAGTCTATTCTCAACAAAGCATCTATAGAAATCCCATTAAAACATAAATCAGATCACGCTACTCCCATGCTTAATCCTATAATGACTCCCCATTTTTCTTAGAGGTCAAGGTCCTTCCACTGGCCTTCCAGGCCCTGCAGAATCTCTCCTTCTTTACGTCTCCGACCTCCTGTCCTGATACTCTCCTTGTCATTCTCCTCACTCATTCGGATCCTCTGCACTGGTCTCCATGTCTCCACCTTAGGGTCTTGGCGCCAGCTGTTTCATCTTCCTGGAATGTTCTTCCCCCAAACTCCCCCCAAATAACTCTCTCATCTCCTCTAAACCTTTGCCCAAATCTCACCTCAATGAAATTTACCCTGACTACTTTACTTAATGCAGTGACCCACCTCGACCCACCCCAGAACTTCCCATTCCTCCAAAACCTTCTGTCTCCCTTACACAGTTTCTACTCTTTCTTTCTTCCCTAGCAGTCACCATCTTCTCACACACAATGTAGCCTACTTACCGTGTTCAGTGTTCATGGTCTGTCTATCCCCACAAGAATGTAAGCTCCACAGAGCTGGGATTTTTGTTGTTGTTGTTCATGGATGTATCATAAGCAGTTTGAACTATGCCTGCCACTCAATTAAATTTGTTGAATGAGTGAATAAAAGTTCAGTTGAAGAACTGAAGTATAAGTTGGGGTTTAAAGTACTATGAAGGGAGGGAGGGAGCTATATTTTTCACATTTTCATAAAATCAGTTTATAGTGTGTTTTTTAAATTGATTGTGAGCTATAAAATGCTTTATAAATGCAAGTTGCCTTAATTTTAAGCGGCATAATTGTAAAATTAATTTAACAAGGATTGATCCTAAACTGTTTTTCTCTCACCTCCTACTTCTCACCTTCAAATTAAACAAAATGAGGATGGATTTTTCTGTTCTCCTAAAATGTGAGCTACAAACAAGGAAACGAAGCAGATGTATGTGCAGACCAGAGGCAAAACTAGAGGAAGACTGAACTCTAAGCAGCAAAGGTCTGCAATCCACGACCCTTTCTTCCACCTGTTGTATATCATTCTCAACACTGACTTGAATTGGAGGCAAAAGAATTTTTTTCACCTCTCTTTAAGAAGTGAAGTTTTACCTAGAGATTATCATACTAAGTAAGTCAGAAAGAGAAAGACAAATATCATACGATATCAATTACACATGGAATCTAAAAAAATGATACAAATGAACTTATTTACAAAACAGAAATAGACTCACAGACGTAGAAAACAAACTTATGGTTACCAAAGGGAAGGGTGGGGAGGGATAAATTAGGAGTATGGGATTATTAGATACAAACTACTATATATTAAAT